GCCAATCACCGAATAAAATGTTAAGAGAGAAATGATAATTTATAAAGTTGTTTAGATATTTAACTGTCTATGCTTTGTAATATAGAATTGTTTCATTAAACATATATATATATATATATATATATATATATATATATATATATATATATATATATATATATATATATATATATATATATATATATATATATATATATATATATATATACACTAGTGATCAAAAGTTTAGACTCAGAAAAAAAATCTCTTAAGCTTAGCTCTGAAAATGCTAAAAAAAATTTATTAAGATAATGCTTGAAATTTTTTTTTTTAATTCAACTTATTTAGTTTGTTTCTAACATAATTACAAAAAACACACACCTTTTATTTTATATATTGGTCTTTTTTTTTATTTTATAATAATAGCGCTATTTAAAAACAAATAAAATGTGTCTCATAAATTTTTTCTATCTTTATTTCCATATAAGTGCTTAACCTTTTTTTTTAAAGATTGTAATTCTAACATGGATCAAAATATATTTTCTAAAATATTATGTTTAAATCCATTTAAAAATTAAATTATTTACTAACTTAGTGCACGCTAATCAAAATATACAATTTTTACTCATTATTTGCATTTAAAATATTTAGAAAATGGGTAAAACATCAGTATCAAAAGAAATCAAAGAAAGAATTATCACCTTGCACCTTGCTGGTAATTCTACAAGAAAAGTTCAGTTGATTCTCAAGAACGTATCACAGTCATGTGTCACTAAAACAATAGCTAAGTGGAAAAAAACAGGTAGCACATTAGATAAAATCAGATCCGGAAGACCCAGAAAAACAACTACCACTGATGATAATAGTATATACAGAATTGCCAGAAAAAATCCTAAGTATAGTGCCAAACAAATTGCTCAAGAAATAAATCTAGCTCTTAAAAATGACATCTCAAGGCAGACAGTAAATAGAAGATTAATTGATCGTAAACTATGCTCGTATACTGCTGCTAGAAAACCAATGTTTAAAAGATCAGATCGACTCAAACGGCTACAATTTTGCAAGAAAATTCTTAAGATGAGTGATAGTGATATAAAAAAAATTGTATTCAGCGACGAATCGAATTATGCAGTCGTTAATCGAAAAAAAAGAGTAACTGTTCGAAGACACCATAATGAGAAGTTTCATAATCGTTTCATTGTACCTCGGTTACAGGGCGGAGGAGGTTCAGTTGGGATCTGGGGTTGTATCACGTATGATGGACCCGGACTATGCTACTTGTACACTGGTAGAATGGATCAATACAGATACATTGAGACGCTTGAAAATAATTTGATTCCAACAAGAGACTTATTTTTTGGAGATGAGCCAGAATGGAAATTTCAGCAAGATAATGCCCCTTGTCACAAAGCAAAAACAGTAACAGCTTGGTTTAAAGAAAATAAAATCAATTTACTCCAGTGGCCAGCTAGATCGCCAGATTTAAATCCAATGGAAAATGTATGGTCTGTGCTTGATCGAAAACTGACCAAAGCTCCTGTAACTTCAGCTGAAGAACTACGAAAAAGTTTAAAAGAGTTGTTTGATGGCTTGTCCTTTGAATATTGTCGAAATCTTTTTGAATCTATTAAAAGAAGATGTAGACTTTGCATAGCTAACAAAGGCGGTCACATACCTTATTAACTTGACTTACAGTTTAAAGTGAAAAGTCCTGAGTCTAAACTTATGAACAAGATTTTTATAGATATCTTTTTACATGATTTTGCTATTTTCAAAATAAAATACTTTAAACTTGTTTTTCTTTTCAAGTCTTTTATATATATTAAAGAGAATTTCATAAATAATAAACTGGATTAAAAATAAAATTAAAAACAAAACAAAAAAGGCATTTTTTTAAATCACAAATCACTAAGAAACTATAAGTTTTATTCTGAGTCTAAACTTTTGATCACTAGTGTATATATATATATATATATATATATATATATATATATATATATATATATATATATATGTATATATATATATATATATATATATATCTCTATATATATATATATCTATATATATATATCTCTATATATATATATATATATCTATATATATATATATCTATATATATATATATATATATATATATATATATATATATATAATATATATATATATATATATATATAATGTGATATGTTTAAATCTACTAATTTTAAAGTTTGTGATGTAACAAAATAGTAATTAAACGTTTGATGTTTTTGTTTAAAGATTTTGTTTAAAAAGCAAAAATAAAAGTTGAATTTTATTTTGATATTGTTCAGATTTTCGAAGGTGTTTTGATAAATAATGTAATAGATCGAATAAAATGATTTTGGTCATGGCCTACTTTATTTATACGGCCGGATATTTTACATTTTGAAGAAAAAAATAGAAGGCCAGTTTTCTGGAAAAGTGTTTTTAAGAAAGCAGCTTTGGAAGTTCAAAAAGATGGTTAACAAATGTTGCGTCGTAAATTGTCGTTCAAATTATCATAGTTATGGTGAAGTATCTACAGTAGTGTTTTCGTTTCCAAAAAATGAAGAGTTAAAAAAATATTGGATTAAGTTTGTAAATAGAAAAGATTGGACACCTTCTAATTCTTCCGTTATATGCATCAAACGTTTTGAAAAAAATATTATAAGAAAGGTAATAAGAATCAACGTTTTAGATTAATAAAAAATTTAAAGCCTATTCCAACTATTTTTGACTGCACAAATTTGACTGAAGAAGGTTCATTACAACTTATAAAATCTTCTAATTCATTAAGAAAATCACCAACTAAAAGAATATTTCAGCCAGATCAATATGAACAGTTTTTATTGAATGATTTGATTAATAGCTTTAACGATATTACTGAAAGTTTTGCCCCAGATGGTTTTTCATTCTTGAAGTATGATGATCATGTAATTTTTTATAAATTGAGTCATAGTACTTTATCTATTCCAGAGGTTACAGAGTGCATTCGTGTAAACAATGAGATGCATGTTAAATTATTTTACAGAGGTTCACCTCTGCCATTACCTCAGTGGTTTTGTCAAGGAAGAGATTGTCGTTTATCTTGTAAAAGTATGCTTCATAATTTTAATCATTAAATCACAAGCCGAACAATTTTCATCTGTATTGACTGAATTACAGCAAATTAAATATATGAAAAAACCTAATTACTCAGCCAATATTATAAGGTATTCACTGATATTACGATATACTTCTATGCAGTCATACCAACTTTTGCGTGAAGAATTGCCTTTACCATCATTATCATTACTTAAAAAAATAACTAGTGGAAATATTGATGCTCTAAGTAGTGCAAAACGTTTAAAATTAGAAGGTAAGATATCTCAAGACATTTGCTTGATTTTTGATGAAATGTACTTGCAAAAATGTGAGGAGTATTTTGCTGGAGAGATGATTGGTAGTTATGAGTCTGGAGAAATGTATAAGGGAATAGTTTGTTTTATGATAGTTGGCCTTAAACAAAACATTCCATATGTGATCAAAATGTCTCCTGAAAAAACAATCAATGGTTGAAAGAAGAAATTTTTGAATGTCTTCGTATTTTAACTGAATGTGAATTTAATGTTAGAGTTATTGTGTGTGAAAACCATTCTGCTAAAGTTTCTTGTTTTAAAAAAAATCCTTTTTGCATCGAATCAACAAGCTGAAGATTTGTTTTTTATTTACAATCTAAAAAAAATTTACCTCTGTTTTGATGTTGTACATCTTATTAAAAACATCAGAAATAATTTGTTAAATTGCAAAAGATTTTTATTTCCAGATTTTAACTTTAATGGATTTAAAGATCCTATAATTGTATGTGGGGGAGAAATTAAATGGAGTACCTTCCACAATATTTATGAAAAAGACCTCACTCTTGATGCTGGTTTGCGTAAAGCACCAAAAATAACAATGAAAGTGTTACATCCTGGCAATTTTAAACAAAATGTTTCTTTAGCACTTGCAATTTTTGATGAAACTACATCAGCAGCGATTCACTCATATTTTTCAGATCTTAAAAGTAGTGCAGATTTTCTTACATTATTTAACAAGTAGTGGGTTTTATCAAATTCTAAATGGCAGTATTCAGCATGTAATATTTTAGGTAATGCAGTCGTTTCTGGTGATAAAAAATCTGAATTTCTTTGGGAAATGGCACATTGGATTGAAGTTTGGCAATCACAAAAGATACCAAACTGTGAGAAGTTTACTTTAAGTGTTCAGACAGCTGCAGTACTAATAAGAACACTTAATAGTCATGCCTCATTGATCGAGGACTTGCTTAATGATGGATATCACTTTGTTTTAACTGCGAGATTTCAAAGTGACCCATTAGAAAGGAGATTTGGACAATATAGACAAATGAGCGGTGGAAGATTTTTTGTAGGTTTAAAAGATGTCACTATTTCTGAAAAAATATTAAAAATCAAAAGTATAGTTAAAGAAAGTATTAACTTCGATGATAGTTTAAAAGTGCCTGAGTCAGAAAATAATTTAACAGATTGGAAAAACTTTCTTCTTGATATTGATGAAGCTCAGTGTACTCCAGAAATTATGACACTTGCACCAGAAAGTAGGGAAGTAGGTGCTCATATTGCTGGTTATATAGCAAAGAAACTTAAAAAACGTTTTGGTACATGTTGTAAAGAATTTTTATGTTGTGTCAATATTGATGAAAGCAATCCTGATCATACTTATTTAACAATTATTTCTAGGGGTGGTCTCACTATTCCTTCACCATCACTTTTCTTCAAAATGTAAAATATCCGGCCGTATAAATAAAGTAGGCCATGTTTGGGTTAAGAAAAGTTAATAACTTATTTGAATTCACTCCAAATTCTCAATGTGTCCAAGGTACACCATAGTACTGGCCAAGGTACATAGGGTATGTTGTACCTTGGCCTTAATTACCATTTTTTTTAACTTTAAAATCTAAGTAATTAGTATGAAATATACATTTCTGATATTTTGGTGGTGAGTACCCAAGTAATTGATCTTTCAAAATATGCAATTATCATTTGCGTGCTGTGCGTTAAATTGCAATAAAAAATATATATCTGAAAAACTGTCCTAGGTACAACAGGTTCCCCTATATATTTGACCATTTGTAAGTAATTTTTGTATTTTCCTATAATTGCAAATAATGTAAAACTTGATATATACCAAAATAATATAATCATCTTTTTTTTGTTGTTGATCAATCTGAATACACATGTTTGTCAGAATCTGTAGCTGAGACTATAACCGCTGAAAATCTGCCTATTGGTGAGATATTTTGTCATATTCCGCTATTAAGATATGTATTATGATTGTTATGTACCTATGTTTAATTTTCACATTTTCTTTGCAGTTATTCAATCGGAAAACCTGTATTTACTTGAAGCTGTAGCTGAGACTATTGCTGTTAAAAATCTGCTTATTGGTGAGATATTTTATCATATTCCGTTAATCCAGATAAATGTTATGATAATAACGGCAAAGCTCAATATTCATTTTACATTACAGCTGGCATGAATACACATCTTCAATCATCTGGTAATGATGTAGAGATACATTCATCAGCAATCGCTTTCAATGACTTGGTTACAGGTAATGTATTGTTTATAAAAATATCACTATAATACAATGTAAATTTGATTGTAAAATAATGTTTTGTATAATAATGTATTACATTATTTATAGGAAAGAGGAAGAAAAAGCCCTTTACCCCGAAAGAGAAAACTTCAAAAAAGCGAAAATGTGAACCTAAGTCATGGAAAAAAAAAGGCAACGGCATTAGCGAGTGAGAGAGAAAGAGCAGTCTTATAAAAGTCAGGGTACGAACAAAGAAATGCCTTCTGAAATAGTTAATGAGGGCATTCTGTGCAAAGAAAATTGTTGTTGGAATTGCAGCTCAAAGATCAGTGTAGAAGATAGAACAAGTCTTTTAGAGGTATTTTACAAATTGGATGTGCGCAAAGAACGTCCTATTGTCTAAATGCATTACTAAAACAGCCATTAAAAGAATGCGACTAAAACGCAAAATCCCATAAAAGTGCTTTTTATTTCTATAAAGTAAAATTGGTGTGGAAATCCAGATATGTAAGAAAGTTCTCTGCAGCCTTTACCAAATTGGAATGAAGAAAGTGAATATTATAAAAAGTAGGATTGTTCATGGCGTTTCTGATCCACCAAAGGACTTAAGAGGGAGGCATTCAAATAGACTCCACAAAATGCAAGATGAAGTTCTTCAAAGAATCATTGTCCACATTAAAAAATTCCCAGTAAAAGAGTCACACTACTCTAGAAATAAAAACTTTCATAAAAAGTATTTATCGCCGCTGCTCGATATTACTTTGTTGTAACAATCGTACATAGAAGAGTATGAGAAAGAGGAATTGAGCGAAATAAATAAAATTAAAAAATGTACCTTCACAAATGTGTTTGTTACACAATTTAATTACTCGTTCGGTTATCCAATAAATGACACCTGTAGCACATGCGATAAAAACGGAGATAATGTGCCTCACAATGTGGTTTTACAACTTTGGGATTCATGTAATGTCTATGAAAGGAGAGAGGGCAGTGTTCTGCAATTGGACGAAGGACATGGCTAATAGGGGAAGCTCTGAAATAGCTAGCTGCGTTACACGGTTTGCAGAGACATGCGAGGAGAAATATGATCACCTTGTTATATGGTCAGACTCTTGTGCTGGCCAAAATAAAAATTTCAATATAATCACTTTATATCAATTCCTAATTTTAAATAAGTATTTTAAAATAATTGACCACAAATTTCCAGAATTCGGTCATACTTACATGGACTCAGACCGTGACTTCGGAAGGATTGAAAAAAAAAATTAAGAAAGGTAGATTCAATTTATACACCAGACCAGTATCGAGATGTGATTAGAAGTTCTGGAAAAAACAGCAAAATCATAGACATGGCCCAACTTATCCGTAAATTTGACGAGTTGCCAGGAAAAAATAATATATATTTAATAGGAAGAAGGATGAGCTAAACGAGCAAGTCAAATTTAGGGATGGAGTAAAATGGATAACTGTGGAGGAATATGGCTCCTATCTTTATAAAGAGTCTTATGACGAGAGTGTCCCTTTCAAAAAAGTTGACATTATAAAAAGCAAAAGAGAGGGTGTTTCCCAATATTTCTCATATTGAAAGGCATAATGAAAAGTATGGAACAATATCTAAGGAGAAATTGAATGAATCCAAATTGGTAGAATTTGTTAAACCGGAGTATAGATATTTTAATAAACAGTTGTTTTGACCATTATCTTTTATGACAATAAGCGATAATCCCACCACTAGACATCAATTTATACTTTTTTTTTATATTATATTTTGTTTAATGATTGTATTATTATTGTTTTAATGTTCATAAAGAGAATAAATAAATAAAGAATATGTCTTTTTGCTGAAATTATAACCTCCCAGTACATCATTGGCCTTAATAAAAAAATGCTTACAACTTACATGCTTACTTTATGTTTACAACACAAATATAGGTAAGCTATAACAATATAATCATACATTAGGTTATATGGTTGATATTAGTAGAATATGTTGGAAAGATGTAGGCTGAAAACAAGCAATACACAGGTATTAACATTTTCATTAGAAAATAAAGTAGTTGGTAGTCCAGCGGTTACAGTCGGTGATTTCCAATCCGAAGGTCGAGGATTCGAAACCCGTTGCCAACCATTTTCTTCTTTCACAACACAAGCATTTTCTTTCTGTGAAAGATGTCAAGAATGTATTGTGTTCACTTCGGGTGAGCACAGATTCTTGAAACTTTGATGTACTGTGTACATCAAAGTTTCACAGTAAAATAGAAAATTTATTTAATATTACAACATACATATAGTCATGTGAACTATCTTATGTGAATATTGTAATATTATTAGTGAAAAATTAACATAACACCTTCATCCACTTAGTTGTATTGCAGTCAATGTGTTTTCTTATAATGGATTAAGGCGTTATGAACAAATTTTCATGAAAAAAACACGTACAACACATTTTTTTTATGAAATTAAATATTACATACAAAATCTTAAGTGTTTGGTTGCTATATCCCTCCATAAATATTATCATATCTTTGCTATAGAAAAATATCTAGAACAATATGTGTTCAAAACTTTAACTCCTGATATCTTAGTTCCATATTGGTGTAACATAACACCTTCATTCACTTATGTCTTCAATTTAAAACTTAGCTACTTAATGAAGCCGCAGTCGCCGGCCAATAACTGAAACTTTTTATATTAGAAGAATTCAAAGAAAATTTTTTTTTTTTTAAAATTTTATTTAAAATTGTTTATATTGTTGTTATTTATTTGTTTATGTAGTCTTATTTTATTTGACATATAAATACACATAAATAATTAAAAATAAGAATTAAATAAATATTTGTATTTAGAGATTAAAAAAAAAAAAGATTTATTTTATGTTATCCTAATATAAAAAAAATATTAGTGAAAATCTTTTTTATTTTGTTTTAGTAACACAAATCGTTTGTAAATGCATTTAGGGTAAATCCATAAAGCACGTCAACTTATATTTATCAATTTTTAAACCCCTAACTTCCTGTCACAACCGATCACATATACCTCAACCCTTCTCCCTCCTAAACTTTGATAAACGTTTTTTCGTCTAAAATATTTTTAAAGATTTAAATATAAATACTTTGCAGCAATTTTAAAAATTCAACCTAATGAAAATAAGGCGTAAAAATTCCTATATTAATTATTTTTAATGAGTTTAATATTTTTACAATTCTTTTGTTATGCAACTCTAACTCTGAGTAATAGATAAGAAAATCCGTGATAAATATCGCTTGGTAACGTAAGTGATGTAACGTAAGTTAAGTATTTAGTATCAAAAAAACAAGTTTATTTACTTTAGTCGGTTACCTTATATTTTTAAAATGGTATAGAATTCTCAACATCTTGTAAAAATGTTTAATTTTCACAAGATGTTGAAAATTCTATACCAAAATAAAAATATTAACTAATAAACCGTTTTACTGATTCACAAAAATCTGACCTAAATTTTGAAGCAATTTTTTTAACTAGTTTTTTGTGTAAGGAAAGTTAATTCTCAGTAATAAGAACGCCATAGTTTGGCCAGACTCAAATCTTTTTAGCTTATTTTATTCTTAAGACTAACCGTCTTCATACAAAATAGCTAAAATTTTAGTTTGCAGTTTAACAGGCAAATTTTAATAAAATTGTTACGCGTCTAACGTAAGTTAAAAATGGAACTGCCCATATGATATTTTTAAGGGTATTTGTTTTTTTTATTTTATATTATATCTCACTGTTCTCAGATAGAGGGTTTAGATTAAAGATGAAAGTTCCTGGGATTTTTTTTGGCAGAAATATCAGAAAGACATACTCAAATAAGATTAGCCAAAAATTAAAATTGTACCCGCTCTTAAAATTAAATTTTATGTTTTTTTGTTTTTTTATTGTTAACTAATTATGTACCAAAACACTGTTGTCTATGGCACTACAGATAGTCTAAGAAATTTCAAAATATATCAATGTCCAATGTAGTTTGGCAAGGGACTCTAGAAGTAACATAGAGAAGAACTTAAGGGACTTTATTGACCCCATCTCACCCCAGGAAAAAAAAAATTAGTCCAAATTCAGGTTTTTATACTGATGGGTCAAGAAAAAATTTATTATGTCAAAAGATCTTAAATTGTCTGAACAGGTAATATCAAAAAGTCTAAAAACAATTATTGGAGATAAAAAACAGGGTAAGGTTAAAGTATCAACATGTAGAACATAATTACACGTTCACCTTGGAGAGATTATCTATCCAAAAAAGATTAGTTTAAAAAATTACATGATTTGTAAGAATCTGTTATTAAAAGTATGTTGACTGAAATAAGAAATGATGTTGGTTGATCAGGATTTGAAACCAATGTAGAGATTTGGGTGAATAAAAATTCCCATTTACTTAATCAGTTTTATTGAGTTCAGCAATTGACATTTCAGCAAGGTGCTAACATGCTGAGGTTCAAAAAGATGTAATATATGTAGAAGATATACCTATGCTTGTTGATGAAATATGCAAACAAAGAGATATTATACTCCAAGAATTAATTGTGAGGATTGGTATTAACGGCGGCCAATGGTCAATTAAAGTTGTTATAAACCTTTTTCAATCAGAAAGACCTAAGGATCAATTACGAAACCAAAAGGACGCGCTACAGTACGAAACCAAAAGGACGCGCTACAATATAAAATAAAAATATTGAAAACATGCAGACCATATGCATAGTCTTTTTTGACATCCCATGTGGTAGAAACAACCTTTACTGCTTAACTTACTTGAAATTACTACTGAGCTTTTATCATGTTTCAATCTTTTATATTTGTCCCATTCAATATTTTTTTTGTCCTATTAAATGAGTTGTTCTTAATGAATGGGACAAATGCCCTGGTCCATGAAAGTGCTCTTTTTACCAATAGGCAGAGCTGTTTTTTGTGTTTTAGTACATCATAGTGCAAGAGTTAATGGTTATCAAACAATTTTCAATTTATAAATTTAACAAATTTATCAACTTAAAAAAAGCATTT